ACCTCTCCTGCCGCCCGCCGCTCCCCTCAGCAGTGTACTTCGGTCCTTCTGCCTGCTCTGCTCCCCGCTCTGGCTCTGGTGAATTCTCTCACCCTCCCGTGTTTCTGACTGTACCCAGTGCTTGTATAAATAAATAAATAAAAATAAATCTTAAAAAAAAAAAAAAAAAAAACTAAGAATGATAACATTTATTGCTGATAGGGAACATAGGTGTTCATATTTTTTGTGGAAATGTGAATTGTTCTCAGTGTTTTTGCAAAGGAATCTGACCACATCTGTTAAAATGGAAAATTGATACAGCCTTCAATTTAGCCATTTTTGCCTGGGTATGCATCACTTAGAAATAAAACCCAAGATGAGTGGTGTGAAGCGTGGGGAGGGGAAAGATCTCTAAACATTATGGATAACACATGGGTCTCATAATGATGAATTAGAAAATTGGGACTCATTTAAAACAGCCCATCTGGATTATGAGAGGGTAAACTTCCACCCATGACTGGTCTGCTAAAGAGTTGACACTCTTGCATACAACTGAAATGTCTCATGAAACAATAATACATGTAGCATCCTTTGACATCTTCTGTTTATAGTTTCTTCTTTTTCCCTTAGAAAAAAAGTGCTGGTCACAACTCAGAAGTGGGTCACAACTGCAATTTGAAAAACACTGCCACAAAGCAGCATAGGTGCATTAGTATTAGTGTTCGTTTAGCCTGGTGAACTTCAAGGTCCTATTTTTCCTTGCTAAAATTCTAAGATGCTACATTTATCAGAGGGGACAGTGTCTTTCCCGCTCTCTACTTACACATTTCCCTGGAGTTCTGAATTAGGCACAGGGCAATCATTCCTTTTTTTTTTTTTTTTTTTAAAGATTTATTTACTTATTTATACAAGCAGTGGGTACAGTCAGAATTGCGGGAGGGCGAGAGAATTCACCAGAGCCAGAGCGGGGAGCAGAGCAGGCAGAAGGACCGAAGTACACTGCTGAAGGGAGCAGCAGGCGGCAGGAGAGGTATGCGCGCCATGTGGGACCCTCAGCTGGCGGCCAGGGATCGAATCAGCGCTGCAGAGGCTGCAGGCAGCTTTGCAGCCCAGCGCTCAACCGCTGCGCAACCAGGGGAGGCCTGCAATCATTCCTTTTAAGGGGCCACATTGGCAACAGCTTATAATCAGTATACACAAGACAATTTTAGATCAAATATTCATTTGTTGTGGACTTGTTTATTGGCTATTCACCATCTTCCACCATAACCAACTTCTTTCTCTGCTAGTTTCTTTCTCTTATATTAAGCTAAGTCTCCTCAATTTTATTTGTCAGCTAAATTTTCTTAATTTAGAAATTACAACATAAACAAGAAAAGCTCTGCCTGTGAGTGACTCATGGATTAGGAGGAGAAACAAACAGTTGGGACAGCACCAGATGTCGAGGAGAGGAACACAGAAGGTCCCCAGGCAGCAGAGAACATGGGTCTAATGGACGAGGGGTGGGGATGGCTTCTCAGAAGTCACATGTTTGAGGAAGAAAGTATCTACTTTTGCCTGAGGTGAAAGGGGTAAAATAGCACATGCCAAGACATGAAGGCTGAAAGAGTCATGCATTACTTGGGTGCTTTGGGCATATTCTGAAAAATGTATCTTTAGACAATTTCATCCTTCTGTGAATGTAGTGTTAGCAGTGGTTTCTGAATACTCATGGACCACAATGAACAAGTCAACATGAGATTAAATCAGCACATGGGAAAATGATGCTACCAAGAGGCCAGTAGCCGCTAGATATGAGTCCGCTGCCAGGATAAAATGCTGCAATATTAAGACTGCTGTGACATCAATAGGCTAAAAGGAGATTATCATGTTTTACGCGGCCCATTGCTGACCCAGTCATCGACATGTGCTGCATGACAGCAGTTATATTTGTCTGGAGTACCGTGAGAGGAGGAAGAAGCCTCTGAGCTGAAGGGAGAAATCTATGCAGAGCTGTAGGCTAAGGAAAACCCTCCAAGGTACTTTGTTCTCACTGTGTGTAGGAGTTAGGAGGGGTGAGTACAGATTTTCACAGCTTCAGTCTTAATTCTTTCTACCAGACTTGCTGCCTACCTCAGTCTGGAATGTCTTATTTGACCTGTAGCGGCCTGCTATGGGCTCAATGGACATTCAGAGGAACCACAGACAATGAGTGCATTTGTGTAAGCCAGCACTGGGAGGGTTTTCACACTCTTGTCCAGACTGTGCTCTGATCTTTAAGAGGTATAAAATGGAATTGCAGCACTTTGGGAATAACCTAGGCTAGTAAATATTCTCTTTTACTAAGACCTCTTTTCAAAGCTACCCCTTCCTGGAAAGATGTTGCAAATGAATCAAGAACTTACATTATTTTCATCCCACCCCCAGATCTTAAAGATAAGGAAAAATAGAGACATACAAAATAGAAGCATAAAAATAATTGACTTGTGATATCCTAGTTTTAGAGTTCTCATTAGCCATAGCTGTTCAACTTTAGATTTATGACTATTTTTAATACTGTAGTGTGAAAATTATCTAAGAAAAGTTGGATATTTGAGCTGGGAGATCCCTTTGGGTTTTTCTGTTTTACCCCAACTTTCTAGATAACTTTGTTCAAATTGATTCAAATAATTTTATATTAGACAATTAAAAGAAGCCGAAAAGCTGAGACTCAGAGTGACTTACCTTGTTTGTATGTCCCTCTAGTGTCTTAAAAAGGTATGTGTGCATTTCCATAATAAAATTTGTAGCGGGCCTCCCTGGTGGCTCCGGGGTAAAGGACAGTGCTATTAGGCTGTCACCAGAAACTGAAACATGAGTTAGATCCTCTGCCGGCCAGGACCAACCCACATCGCAGCAGACCTCTTCTGTCTCCCCCGCTGCTCTCCTCAGTAGTGTTTTTCAATAGATCCTCCTGTTCTGCTCTCCACTCTCTCTGATGGGTCTTCTTACTCGCTGGCACCTCTGGTCTATACCACAGTTTTTGTATGCATAAATAATTAAAAAAAAAAGAAATTTGTTTCCTTCTATGGATATTCTTGTATATTGACTTTTATACTCAATATATTAGGGTTTCCCCTAAATCTTTGTTAGTTGTATATTTGTTACTAACATGGTCACATAGTTAATGGGTCATTGTATTGATATAACTTAATTTTTTGACTTATTCCCTATTGTTGGTCATTTAAGTATTTCTGAATTATCATTATTATTAGAAATAAAACTTTTGCTCATAAATCATGGGTTCTGTGGTTAAGGGGATGGATATGTTTAAGGTTTCTGATACATACTGACAAATTGAACACCCAGGAAGTTTTTGCAGATTTGCCATAAGAAATGTGTTTCCTATTTTTTTTAAATCTTAGCAATTTTGAATAACAGGTGATTCCTGTTAACTTGGAGTTCAAATTTGCCCTCATTTTAATAATTAAAAAAATACTAACAATTATGATTCAACCATTTGCTTGAGAAGCCAGCAGGTCTTATTCCCAAATTATAAATGAACCTGTAAGAATTAAGGGAGAGTGTGACTCAATGGCAGAAATCAAATTTGAAATATCCAGGAGTTTTCCTGTAGGGGTCACTGTTACTGTCAATTTGCACCTGGGAGGAAACTAGAATCATGAACTGACCAATCCATACACATTATTAATTAATTAATTAATTAATTATTTTTTTTATTGCAGTGTCACTGATTTACAACTTTGATTGAGCTTTGGAGGTATAGGATCTCTCCTTCCAGGTGTTTTATCACACCACACCCTGCAAATTTAGTTTTAATGCCTGATTCCTCTACATTTCCTAAACTGCAAAATAAATCACAGAACCTTGCAATCAGATAGCATCATTATGTCAAGCTTTTAATATAATGACATATACCTCCCTCTCCACTCAATATGCTCCTTAGTTCCAATTGATTAAATATATACTTCTCATATGAAAGGCACTTATGCTTGATCTTAATAGAGGAAGCATTAGCTAATTGCCTAAGGCCATAAAGTGTTTACACGGCATATGCTGAATTGAGAAGGGAGGAAAAAACCAAGGATTGATGTGGATGAGAGAATCCCCTCCCCCACCTTTCCTTCTCTGCTTTTCTGATTGAACCTCTTTGCCCTCCGATTCAAACTCGACAAAGAAGACAAAATCAGATGTTGTGGGTGCATTCTATGCGGCCGTTTGAGTACAAAACCGTGCTCTTAAATTTTTTATTAATGCAACTCAGTCATGACCCGACATTCCCGGAGCCTGGCCAATATGGCCGTGCAGACACACCTTTGCAAGGTGGCTGTCAGGCTCCAGGGCTGGGGCAGAGACGATACCAGGTGCTGCCGGTAACTACTCGGTACTCTACAAAGCAGGAGTCTTCCCTGTCGTAAAATGCAAAGTAGCCAGCTGTTTTCCATTTCTTCTTCCCCCGGTGGTGTAGGAAGGGGCCGGGAGGATATTTACCGTCAGCTCTTGCACTTCTCTTATTTAACTGAGCCCAGTGGCAGTTACTTCTCTGGACGCAGCACCAGTGGGCTCAGGCCCAGCCGCACCTTGCAAGCAGGCTCGTGACTGATCAAGTTTTGGCCAAGTCGCCCTGGGCTGGGGTGTCTGGGAAACTGAAGGAGCCGATCTAGGAAACCCGGGTATGTGGCTGTGAGGCTGGTGTGCAAGTCTCAACTTCGGGTCAGATGGACGGCTCCACCTGCCTCCAGGAACTGTGTGTCCCGCGGCGGTGCGCGCTTGGCTGAGCTCCACTTCTCTCAGCTGGGACTTGGCAAAACTCACTCACCTGTCGCAACCCGGATCTGGGCAGGGAGCAGGGCCTGGCGGCCAGAACGCGCTGGTTACAGCCGCCTCGGCAGGCGGCCCTCCCCGCGCTGGGACCTCAGTGGCAGGGAGGCAGTGCTGGGACGGTTCCAGGAGGTACCCGCCCGGGGTCTCCGCGGCCCAGCTCCCTACTTGCTGTTAACCCCTCCCCCCCACCTCACCCCACCCCGGACGAACTCGGGCAAGCTCTACCCCTGCAGGTTCTGATGCTCCGCCTCCTGCTACTTGGAACCACTAAAGCCTGCAAACCTTTCCACTCCCTCTTAGTCTGCGGTCGATGCTGAGGTTTTCGGAACTTTCCAGACGAGGGCCACCCAGGCCCTTTGCCTCCTGCCATCACCGTACCTGCACCCTGCTTGGGAAAACCCTAAGCCCGGAGCTCCCGCTTTCCCTCAACACGGACGCCCCAACTTTTTACGCGCGGTCTGCGCCCCTCTCGCTGGGTGTCCACTTCTTCCTGTACCTGGGGACGCGCGGATTTTCCGGGGCCCCTCAATGCTTTTAACCTCTTCTTGCCTTCCTTCCTGGGGTCAGTGAGGGGCTGGCGAGCCCGGATTCTGGGTGCACTAGAGCGTTCCCTGCACTCGGGATTCGCCCTCGCCTCGGAGCCGACTCTCGGGGTCAGCTTGCGCCCGGCAGCTCGGAGCCTCTGACTCCAAAACTCAAATCGGGATCTGTCTTTTCTCTCCGAACGCCGTGCACGTCGCAGATCGACGCGGCGAGGTACCGGTGGAAGATCCGGGCGCGCAGGGCTGGTGGTCCCGTCGGGTACAGAGCGCACCATGGCTGGCTGCTGCTGCTTGTCGGCGGAGGAGAAGGAATCGCAGCGCATCAGCGCGGAGATCGAGCGGCAACTTCGCCGGGACAAGAAGGACGCGCGCCGCGAGCTCAAGTTGCTGCTGCTGGGTGAGTGAGAGAGTGAGTTTCCCTCCCGGCCCCTTCCCTCGCCCTGATCCGCGCTGGGTATGGAGTCTGGGGCTGCGCTTCTCCTACTTTCCCAGGGGCTCGAGGGTGCAGAAAACTTGGGGCCTTCAGCGCCTGTTTTTTGCACCTCCAGCTGGGCATCCTTTCTCTCTCAAAACAAAGGCTAAGGCAGAACTTGGACGCGTCTATTTTTCCTCACCTGTTGAGCTTTACGCTAGGTCTTAGCCCCATTTTATAGAATTAAAAATGGAAGCCCAGAAAAAGGTGAATTTGCCCCCGAGAAAAGGCAAAGCAGCTGTCATTTCAGTCTCGGGAGAAAGCCCCAACCGTCGCCTATGTCCGGGACTCCCTGTCTGGGAGGCCTTAATCTTTGCAACAGGCCCATGGTACCTGAGTGTGAGCGTGAGCTGCCAGAACTAGATCGTCAATAGGCTTTTTTGGGTCTCTCTACCATTCTAGGTAGGACACCCACTTTCAAAAACAAAGCATTTAAGCTTTGCCCACCTTATAGGGGAAGGATCCCACCTCTTCTGACTTCCTAGAACTGTTTAATCCAGGTGCTGTGTGAGGAATCTTAACCTTTCCCTTCTTGCTGGATATTAGCTGAGAGATCTTTCTATTGTAGATGGCTTGCAAGTACTTCCAACTTTTTTCTTTCATCCTTTCTAGACAAGAACCCTCTTCTCTCAGACCAGATTATTCATCTTTATTATAAAGGAGTCACACTCCCAGAGAGCTTCACGGAATGGGATCTAGCTAAAATAAAATAGAGAAGACCTGAGCAAGAGAACCCCCTTGCATGTATTCACTGAGTTTAGAGCCCAGAATCTGGCCATCCCCGCCTGTTTCCTTCCCACAGGACTAGATGGGAGACTTTGACTAAACCCCAAGCCTACTTCAGGGCCTATGCCAAGCAGGAGGGCAGTCCCTATCCCTGAGGAGTGCCCAAAGGGGTGGCTGTGCTGGGTTGTGGAAATTTCTTGGAAATGTCAGCTGGACAGCCACACTGTGGCCCTGAGTATCCGTTGGGTAGAGGTGGACCTGGCTGCGGAAGGGAAGGAGTTCTGTTTAATGGCCAGGGTTGCCCTGTCCCTTCAGGATCTGGAATTCTAAATTGTACCTGGCCTTCCAGGTTGTTATAAAGCTTGATTTGTCAAGGGAGGAGGCAGTTTGTGATTCTGTTCCAGTTTGTGAGCTTGATTAGCACTTTAAAGTAATTATGTGGGCCTCATTTGCACTCTTGCCCCAGGCTGCACAAACAAAAGGGATGGGCCTGGCTTTAGCAGCATACTCCTTTCTTTTCAAGGACAGGCTAAACCCTATTTCATTTAGAAATATTTTGATTTGTGTCAGTGTTTGAAGTACAGTGTGTGGAATATACCACGAGCTTGACAAATGCTGGATCTGTGTACAAAAAATTAAGTAGTAAGCTGAGCTGTACCGTATTGGTGATAAGCCTATTTGAAGTAAAATACTTGCATTTGCAATCAAAACAGAAGAGAAAGGTTTGTCGGTAAATTGTTTGCCTTGGAAGTCCTGTTTAACCCTGGTGACTAGAGCACCTTCCTCATCATTCCCAGGTCTTTTCCCAACATAGGCCTGACCTCCGGATTTATAGGCATTTTCTTGTGCCCCATTGTGACTTGCATAGCATCTCAGTGCTAGTCACTCAGAAGCTGCTAAAAATAGTTTTAAAACGCCAGGAACTGTACAGAACTCCAAGGGTGGACTTTTATTTATTTTAATTTTATTCATATATTTTCATATCATTGTTCATTTTTGTACAAGTTTAATTTCTCCTCTCAGGTATAGTCCCCTCAAAATCACCACCAACCAAGACACCTGTGAGCCATCACTGTCGTCCCTTGCGCTCTTCCCTCCTCTGTTTTAATCCCTCTCCCGCCCCTGCTGAATGTCTCTGATTTATTGTTTGCCAGCTCGTTTAGTCTTTTTACCCCCTGACCCCCAAGGGTGGACTTCTAAACCTCTGATTTCTCTCACTCTCTGTGAGAGTAGGGCACACTTCTGTTTTTTCCTGAAGACAAAGGAGGAGGCAATGACACAGAAGATACAGATATCAGGGACGGGCATAAGCTGTTTGGTCCGAAGTCATTAAGTTTGGATGAAAAATTCACCTGCTGTAGAGACTCAGGTGAATTAGATGACATGTGGGTGAAATGACACAAGTGAAAACACTTTGCTAATGTGAGTCAAGAATCCCCTGGGGAACGAGGAATGACCTAAAAAGCCAGGCGCTTCATGGCGAGGAAAGCCTTTGCAATGATGTGAGGACATTTCCAAGTATCTTCAGTGGCAGAGTATCCTGTTCGTGGACAGTGTCCACAGGAAAGATGAAAGCTGTTGTTTGGGTAGGGTAAGTAGCCGCAAGATGTCAGAGATACCTTGCTCTCGGTTGGCAGGTGGGGGGTAAAGGGCTGCCTGAGTTTAGTGAAAATTCCTTCCCAGTTTTTCAAATAGAAGGAGGATAGAAAGGGTTTCTGACAAGAGCCGTCATGGGTACATTCAGTGGAGAAATAGCAAAGAGAGAAATGTGATCTTTTATTGATTTTGGTATTAAATGAGACTTGGGAAAGTGTTGCTTGTTAACTGGGTTGAGTGCCGCCAGCAACTCTGACAGCTACATTTTGTATGCATCTAATGCTGGAACTCTCTGGAAGGAATGTTTACTGGGGAATTGGTATTTAACTTATGCTAGTATGGGAAGGTGTTAAATATGTGTGTTGTTAGGCCAGACTGCCAGAGTTCAAACCCTGGCTCTGCCTTGTCTTAGCAGTGGCCTAACTTCCCTCAACATATTCTGAGCCTGAGTTATTGGTAAATGCCAACTATTCATTGCTCCATTTTTGAGCATTTTTTTTCATTTTTATTATTTCATTTTTTTATAATAAATTTTATTTTTATATTCCCCATACAATTGCAACCCCTTATTTTGACCCCAATCCCTCCCCTCCCGCCCCTCACCCCCCAAAAAGTGTCTCTGGTTCATAGTTTTTTGTTGATTTTGATTTTCACTTTCTTATAGTTATTCATTTTCCTGGTCCCTTATTTAAGTTTTCTAGATTCCTGCTATGAGTGAGACCATCTGGTATTTTTCTTTTTCTTTCTGGCTTATTTCGCTGAGCATGATCCCTTCCAGCGCCATCCATGTTGCTGCAAATTGCATGTGTTTATCTTTTTTGATTGCTGAGTAGTATTCCATGGTGTATATGTACCACATCTTCTTGATCCAGTCATCTATTTTTGGGCATTTAGGTTGTTTCCAAAGCTTAGCTATTGTAAACAGTGCTGCTATAAACATAGGGGTGCAGGTGCTCTTTGGAATTGATGTTTCTGTGTCCTTTGGGTAAATACCTAGGAGTGGAATTGCTGGATCATATGGAAGCTCTATGTTTAGTAGGTCCAGAAATCTCCACACAGCTCTCCATAGTGGTTGGACCAGTTTGCACTCCATGGAATCACAAAAAACCCCCGAATAGCCAAAGCTCTCCTGAAAAAAAAAGAAGGGAATGGAGGCATCACACTCCCAGACTTCAAACTATACTACATTTTTGAGCATGTTTAACTACCAGTCAGATGTCATTTTCGATTTCAGTTGCTAATTTGTAGGTCCTATAATCGGTTTTGTTTAAATAGTCCTGGTAGCGCTGTAACAGAAATGTTTTGCTTTGAGTTTTCCACACTGTGTTCTAATCTGTAAGCTGATTTTAAAGTCACACTTCCTACTTATCCAGTGACTTGAAAATCTGAGTCCTAAAAAGTTTTATTGTGTTGAGTATAACAAAGTTCCATTTTCAAATACATTCCTGGCGGGCCTCCCCGGTGGCGCAGCGGTTGAGCGCTGGGTTGCGAAGCTGCCCGCGGCCTCTGCGGCGCCGTTTCGATCCCCAGCTGCTCCCCGGCCACCAGAGGAGGGTCCCACATGGCGCGCAGACCTCTCCTGCCGCCCGCTGCTCCCCTCAGCAGTGTACTTCGGTCCTTCTGCCTGCTCTGCTCCCCGCTCTGGCTCTGGTGAATTCTCTCACCCTCCCGCGCTTCTGACTGTACCCAGTGCATGTATAAACAAAAACAAAAACCAAACAAATAAATAAATAAAACATGCCTCAAATACATTCCTGGCCTGGTAGTGCTTTAGAGAAAATGGTGCAGAAAGTGACAGAATTTTCTCACTTTCTGAAGAGGAACAGGAGCAACATGGTAAGTATACTCCTGTTCCTTCCTGTGTCAGTCAATATAACTGACTTTTCCAAAGTGCCAGTCATGGTGCTCAGTATCAATTCCAAGCCCTGAGTTGGAGTTGCTTTTTCATAAGTAGCTTTTATGAGGAAGATGGTCATAAACACTTAAGAGAGATAAAAGGTGAAGCTTCCAATTGAGGAATTTTGAGTTGGGCCTTGAAAAATGGGGAGGGCAGGATGCTGATGACCATTCCTATTTGGGGGCTTGTGCGGGACACGCACAAACTTCTCCCCACCCACCAAGAGGAACTTGTGAGATGGTATGTCTTGTTCTCAGGACCTGGGATAGTATGAAGGACCCCTCAGGTGCAAGATTTCATCAAATTTTTGTGTGTTAACCATCAAAAGAGATGTTAATGGAGAAATGCTTAATTTTTTGTACCATAATATGGTTCAGAAAGGGAACCGTGTGAGCTTTTATGGCTTATGTCCATCCTGGCTGAAATAAACCTCACCAGTACTTCCTTTGTGAAGCAGCGGGCAGTCTCTGGAGGCCTCTCAGGAGGCAAATGCAATTTTTCTACTCTTCTTTCTACATTAAATGAAGACAGAACCTTTCCAAATAATGGACTCTTACCCATTGTGCCTTTTCCAATAAGCTTAATTGAAGTATGAGTTACTAAAAATCAACAATTTCATGTATTTTAACACATGTGAAGTTATGTAAGCATTAATCTTGATATAAAATATTTCCATGTGCAAGAGTTCCCTCTACTTTTCTGCAGT